TTTTAACGACCTTCGGCCATTTTACGAATCGACGTATTTAGTTTAGAAATTTAGAAACTGACCGATTAAAAAGGAACCGACTAAGTCCGTCTGTTTATTTTTTGTATAGTATTTTCCCAATTTTCAGATAAGGTGTTCAGTATTGTGGTCGAAGTTGTCGATAAATTGACAGAAGTTCATATTTTGTTATTTTTGTTCAACGGTGGAGTAATAGATAGCGGTTCGGATTGAGGAATCGGAGAGCCGAGTTCGAAATCCAGTCGAATCCATTACATTCACTTACGTGCTAAAAGGTATGAATCTTCTTCTTCTCCCACCAGCTATGGGTAAATAGGAGTACAGACCGAGTTCTATAGCCACGGATGGCAACTGGTTTATCGCAGAAACAAATGGCAACCTACTGCGGGAAAAATCTGCCTCGTTAGTTATATATCGAAAGATACATGATCACCTAAGCGTGTATCACGCATGGCACATAAATGACTGACTTTCGAATTTCGCAGTCATTATCAAGAACCGATGTGGTGTCTGTGTGGTAGATATAATTCCTTTGTCTGCATTATGGTTTTCTTTGGAAAGCTGGGTGTTTAAAATGGTCTAGCACGACGTCATGTCTAGGAATGAGGCTGCACACACACACAGACACACACACACATACAGACACATATATATGTATATACACACGTTTTTTTTATACCTTCATAACCTCAAACACTACAAAAGATTCATGTGCAAGACAGAGCTAAAATATATATATATATATATATATATATATATATATATATATATATATATATATATATATTCTTTGGATTTTTGATTAATCTGACAGATATTTATCACTTGAAAATTTGCATTCCCCGGGAGTCTCTACGTCCCTCATGGCAGAGGAAGCTACTGTTAAGCCAGGCACGATTAACCAACTTGGCCACGAAGAGCAGTCAGGCAAGGCCAATTTTAGCCCTTTCAAGCGATTTTTCCCGTCATAGAATCTCTCGAAGTTTTTCATATCTGCTGTTTCGTATCCAAATATAAACAATGAGTAATTTAGAAAGGCTTTTTTTTTTTAATCCGACATATTTTTTATAACTTAAATGTTATTTTTAGTGGATACTTGTATTTGCGTAGGCGTTTCATTTATTCATTAATTTATTCATTAAACATTAATTTATTCATTTATTTATTCATTAAACAGTATATTTATTTATTGATTTTTGTGTATCGGAGCGCCTACTCAAATAAGAGTATTCATTAAAAATAAGGTTTATATATATATATATATATATATATATATATATATATATATATATATATATATATATATGAAGAAAATATCTGGAAAAACAAACAAAATCCTTAGAATGTGATTATGTTGTTTTAATATGAATGAAATGTCGACGTCTGACGTTTCGGTTTAATAACCTTCTTCAGGACAATATTCATTAAAATACAATACAATTAACATAATCAGTATAACTCGACGAAAACGATGGACATAAAAAACAAGTCTTATCCAAAACAGATGAAAGAAAATTTTAAACATTTTTGTTTGTTTTTCCAGATATTTTCTTCATTCTGTCGGATTTATATCCATTTATATTTGCTTATCATATATATATATATATATATATATATATATATATATATATATATATATATATATATACCGGCAACAACTGCAAAATTATCCAAATCGTATAACAGCATGTGATAATTGTCTATCCCACAAAATTTTTTATATCTAAAAATTCACTAAACTAATTGAGTTTTTTTTTTTTTTTTTCAGATAAGACTTTTAGCCATCTTGAAACCATTTGTCATAGAATCACTGAAAAACCCTCTCAGCTAGAAAGAGAACAGGTGAAAATCATTTTTGTCAGCCCCACTATGTTTTTCGAACTAGACAATGGTGAGACGAAAAAGATATATTTATGTGTATGTATGTATGTATATGTACAGAGAAAAGAATATGGTGAAATCCAATCTCTGAATAATGAGAAGGTCATTCTTTCCATAAATCCTTTAATTACGGTAAGATGATTTCTTTGGCCAATTCTTGTTTATATTTTTGCCATATCCCCAGAGATCTTTTTGTATGGGCTCCTGGAACATTTCCCCCGCAAACAATATTGGCAGATTCACGTGAATGCGGGCAAAACTAAGTGACACAAAACAATGAATTTAAAACAAACGACAATTAATGCTTGTATTGACAAAAGTATTTGCATGCGTACACAACTGTAATGAAAGGAAACATCATTGAAACTAGCTATAAGAATGTGCTTGCTTTTGTGTGTGTTTATGTGAGTGAAACGTGTGTGTGTCTGTATGTGAGTGACACATGTGTGTGTGTGTGTGCGTGTGTGTAAGAGAGTTCAGTAGTCAGCAGAAGACCAAGGAAGCGAACGCGCCTCGTCGGCAGCATTCTTTGTCTACGTTCGACTACATCTGGAAGTAAGAGTTAAACAAATAATAAAGAGAAAAAATATGATCGCCTTTTTATAGACCTCAAGGACGCCCTCTAATGCATTTTTGGAAATGTATATATATATAATATGATAAAGTTACTTAACTGTAAAATATCAATTTTTGATTTTGTTTCCCCGACTTCGAAGTTTCTTGGAATTGTTTATTCTTCAAGGGGCCTATTGTTTGAAGGAGTTTATTTACAATTTTGTTTTTCAATTATTTCGTGTCTTTTTCAATTCGTTGTGTACACGCGCATGTACATGAGTTCATATATATATATATATAATATATATATATATATATTAAGACATTTTTATGTTTAACATTCTTTTTATAGATACAAATATTTAAGTAAATGCTCTCTTTATAATAAACAGTATTAAATAACATTTACCGGCCTGAATGTCCGAGAAATTTTCATAGAAAATATTCGTCCTCCGACAGGATTCAAACCTGTATCCTATACGGAACCGTCATATAGCCTGACGTGATTTTACCAATTTCGCAAAAGAGGATCGATCTGTTAGCAAAGTCGAATTTACTGTTTTTAAACTTCAATCATCCATGAATCTCTCACGTACATTCATGTCTGCTCATGGCGTATCAAATGTAAACAAATGACGTCACACATTATAAAATTTGTTTAAGCCGTTTCGGCCGTTGTACGCTCTAGCCTTCTTCAGGTGGTTGGAATGTCGAACTGAACCCTTTGTTTCGCTCACTGGAGTAGACTGTTCTAGTTCCACGTTCCATGTTTCATGGATGTCAGTTATCAGTTATTTCCTGTTAATTTCCCTCTGAAAGTTCTCCACTGCCTTAACCAGGTATTGAACTCACACTCTTTGGATCCTGTCACTGGATCTAACCAACGCCTTTATCCACTGTGCCATGTGTCCTGTTCAATAAACATGGAAGGATTGCGGACCGGACGATAGGTGAGCTTATCTACTCATATATATATATATATATATATATATATATATATATATATATATATATATATATATATATATATATATATATATATATATATATATATATATATATATATATATATATACACACACACACATATATATATATATATGAATTACATATAAATGAAATTCAATTCTACCACATTTAGATGGTCATTTGCTCCTCGAGAAATTCCTGGATTCCATTGTCAATACCAAAACGTTTAATAAAAAAATGATTCGTAATTACTTACCCACGGATTTTTACACACACACACACACACATATATATATATATATATATAGATAGATAGATAGATAGATAGATAGATAGATAAGTGATCAATATATATATATATATATATATATATATAAATTCCCAAGAGGATAGAATTCAGGTAGAACTCAATGTCCAGGACAGAGTAAGAATATAAAAGGCTCAAACACTAATATTCCATGGTTATAATTTATTACATTATATATATATATATATATATATATATATATATATATATATATATATATATATATAATTTCAAACATTTTAGTGGACAACATTATTTATGAATTTCGATGCCGCATAAGGAACTCTTTCTATTTTTATTAAAACCCTGACTTTTTGCGGTCACACTCAAATATGAAAAGGCTATGGAAGTAAATCCAGACAGAAACCCGGAGTGGAGACCCGAAGATGGTTGGCTGTCAACACTGACAACATCCTGGCAACTCGTGTGGAAGGAAGGAAGGAAGGAAAAAAAAAAAAAAAAAAAAAAAGGAGGAAGGAAAATAACGATTTTTATTAAATTATCTAAGTATCAATAGTCTTCAAAAATACTTTTTGAGTTTTACTGAATTATTTTTTATAAGGTCCAGGACGAATTTTCAGTATGTTTACGGCTGCTGAAATTGTCTTCTTTTTTTTTTTTACTGGAAATCTTCAGGAAAATTTTTAAAAAACTGTAAAATAATTCGCAAACATCCACCAAATTTAAAAGTATTCCTGATATATGGATATTTTTTAAATTGGTGTCTTCGCTCTTTTTAAATTAAATTTTTAAAAGATTAAAAAAAAAAAAGCTGGTTGGGTGTCGTTGCTCATCTGGTAAAAAAGGGTATTTGTTTTACTTGCGTTGCTTTGTCTTGAGTCTTTGCTCAAACATCTTCAGTTTTAAAAAAATCTTTTTTTAATGAATCTATATTCCAAATAATCAGTGCATTCTTGTACTACTAAAACCTACGATAACGAAACATATAAGTTGGTTAGCTCTATTCTGAAGAAGAGACAAAAACTGTCTGCTCGAGACGACTGTCTTATTGATCTGCTACTAGAGTTACCGCCCTTGAATAACTAATTTTCTTATAGACGTAGTTCTTAGTACGGTCGCTAGGTGTCACCTTCAATATTTAGTAGTGCTTCTTTAGTCGTTGTTAAGTTTGTTATGTAGGTCCCAGAATTTGGTTGTTGCATTTTTCCAGTGATGACTGCTAACATTCGGACACGTTGGAATTTACGCTATAATGCCCTAAAGTCTTCTTTCGACAACAAACAACAATTTTAAGACAAAAAATATAGACATGAATACGGCTGATACCAATGTCGAGGCCGGTCTGGCCCAGGGTTTGACATGGGGCAACTTTTACCAAATCGAAATATCCATGGTAAGTGGATAAATGTTTGTTTTTTTTCCTTTTTAAAAATATAAAAGACAGATAAAGGTTGTTAGTTAGAAATAACATTTCTTTATAAGTAACTAATGAATTAAGTATTCAAAATATTTATTTTTCTCCTTTTAAAAATTTATTTGATATTTTTTTTTTTTTTTTAAGCTTTTGAAATTTTGGACTGTCCTCGATGTTAGGGAATAAGTTTATAAAACTTGTGGATTAACTGGATTTTACTTTTACAAAAGATAATGAATAAAAAAAAGGATGTTTTACTTATATTTTTGCCTCTCAGCTGTGTAATGTGAAATAAAAAGCATGAACGATAAAAACATTACATAAATAAAAAAGCGGAATAACTTCTTTTTTTTATTTATTTTTAAAACTTTTTGTCTTATTTTTATTCTTGCTAATATCAAAATTGGTACTTTACACATTTTGATTCCATTAAAAAACTGATTAAATTACAATTATAAAATATTATTTGGCAAATAATGTACTAACCAAAAGGAAAAAAATATAGATTTTTCTTCAAAAAAATTAACTCGAAAACGTTTCCACTTCAAACTTCATTATTATTATTAATAATTAAAGAAGATCTGTTGTGTAGTTAGTCTTAATATTTTTTTTTACAAAAAAGAAAATAGTTATCATAGGTCAGACTACTGCATAAAAATCCAAATATTATTTCTTGACTTCAGATCTTTTGCGATTTTGTTTTTCATTGAAGAAACACGTACAGGCTTATTTGTTTGTTCGGTAAACAGATGGTGTTCGGTAACTAGCGATTTCTTAAGGAGCTAGAACGTAGCTTTATACCTAAGAAAAAAAACATATTTAATTAAAAAAAAAAAAACGTATTTTTTGTCTGTTATTTATATTTTCATTAAATAACAATTGTCATGAACTTTGGGGGAAGTGATTAACTGACTTTTTGTTTTCAAAATATATATATTTTTAATAATTGAGAAAAGAAAGTATGAAAATAATGTTTCTTTCTTAGTTCTTTGAGCCTAGGAATAATTTAAAGAACTTATTTTGCCTTCCTCCGCCCTTTTTTACTTGTTTTTTCTTCTATTTTTAAGAGAAGGAAGCAGTTTTTTTTTCATCTTAAAACCAAAACACGAAGCTTTGTTAACGATGTCGTAGTGTAGTCTGTTAGTGTTGTATAGTATTGTTTAGTTTCTGTTTACTGTTTACATCTTGGATTTTACACTATACTACTTTTTAGTGTAGTGTAAACTGTAAACAGTACTGAATATTATTTCAGGTTATAATTTAAAAAGGGAAGAAAATTATTTTTCTACTAGCTTCGTATTCATTCATAAAAAATATAAAACTAAAAAAAAATATCAATGAGAGTGAGACGTATTATTCGTAAATTACCAAATCAATTCATATTGTAAATTTATTAATTTAATTTTGAAATCATTTTATTACATTTTTGTTACGTCTTTTTTTAACCTGAAATTTTCCTTTCTACGCATCTTATCCTAACCATGTAGGACTTGTATCTGAAAAAAAAAATCATTGCTATTCTCCAAAAATTGTTAATGCAATATTCACACACACACACACACACACACACACACACAAATATTTAACTTACAATCCAAAATATGTTTTGATTTTACTTTTAAAATGACCTACGGAAAAGGTTGATAAGCCGTACCCCCCCCCCAAACACCGCTTCAATAGAGAAAAAATCTTTTTACTTTTAAAATAAAAACATTAAAATAAAAGCTTTATCAACGAGGTGCGTAAAATCTGAAAAATAAATATTAATCTAATTAATACTTATTAAATAAATTTAATTAAAAATTTTAATAAATTAAAATTAATTAAATAATATTTATTTATTTATTTTAAAATCATCTTTGTCAGCTGTGAGGAAGATAACTTTGACCCAGAAAGTTGATTTTTTATTTTTTTTTTTTTTGGACTCTATGATGAATAACAATAACATCATCAGACGTTTTTAAGTACGAATTGTTATCCTACGGTTCAAATTGCTTGTAGTGCTTGACATTTTTTTTTTTTTACTATTTCATTGACAGTATTTTGAATTTCGATGTTTTTGTCGAAATAAAATTTTTTTTTTTCTTTGATGAGCCTGAAAAAGAGAATAAAAAAAACGGAAGGTTAGACTTTCTTTCGGGACTTTTTACGACTCTCCAAAGTAGAAACTGTGAATTGTTGTCCACATGACTTTTTTAAACTAAAAAAAGTGTTATTTGTATACACGTGATTAAGAGAAACAAATGTTATTGTGAACTTAACCTTTGATTTCTTTTCATCATGTCTTGAATTTTTGTTTTACTTTTATTTTGAATTATTTTTATTATTTATCATCTTCGACTGTATTTTTTTCTGTATCATAAATAAAATTTTTATTAATTTTGTTTGAAAGATATTTTGTTTGTCCATAGACAGTGGGATCCTCATAAACTTCTCCCAATTAAATAAAAAACAAATGTAGCTTTCTCTTCCCTCGCATATTTTGTTAAGGAATTTAACAAAAAACAAAACGAAATAAAAAATAAAAGACACTTTTTCTTTTCTAGAAAAATACTTCAGATTTTTGTTTTTTTTTATTACTAAGTATTACTTTAATACAGATCAACCAGTAACGTAAATCGAGTTAGCTGATTTCTTTCATACAAGATTCCATAGAAAGGATAAAAAAAATGTATTATTTTTTAAACGAGAACTTGAGTTAAAAAACTAGAAGCCAAAATAAAATATTATTTTATAAATCAAATGTCAAAATTGTTAAAACCATTAAAAAATATCTTTTTGTTATTACTTTTAAATTTTAAAATACATTTCTCCACTTGTCATAAAACGAATTGTAAGTTGTCAGGTTTCATTTCAGAGACCGCATGTTCCTGTATTTTTATTTTATTTTTATTTACTTAAAATCTAAAAAAACAAAATAAAAAAATATATATATATTTACGACACTACAAGTGGTTCCTTAATGCAAGGAACCGCATATTTGTTTACTAACCACAAATAATTTACTTTGGTTTAAAAAGTAAAAGCGTAATAAAATGTTATTTTCTGTATTTTTTCAATTGATCAAATGATTATTTTTATTTTTTTTTTTTAACAAATACAATTTTTAAGCCATTGCCAACAAATGTTTTCATTGGCATTTTAAGAAGGAATTATGAAATATTGCAGGTTTCTTTTTTTTTTTTACTTTCTAAAACTATTTTTAATGTAAGTATTTTTTAAAGAGCAGATTCGAATTATCGATAATGAAACAAACAAAATATTAATTAAATTAATTTAAACCAACAAAAAGAAAGGCCAAACCAAACAAACACGTGACCTGTTTGAGTTTGATTTTTTAAAACTAAAATTAAAGCTTTTTAAACTTTATTAAAAGCAGTTAATTGAAACATTATTTATTGCATCCACGAAAGAGTTTGTGCAAAGAACTGTTTTTTTTTTAGTAGCTTAGCTACTTTTTCTTTTTTAGAGCTAGTTATGTTTTTGTATAGTATACCTACTAACTACTAAGACTACTACTGCATCATTGTATATACTACGTACACGATGACTAAACAAATCTTGTTTTTTTTTTTTTTTTTTTTTTAATTACGCTGTTTCGAATTACTATTTTTTTTATAATTCTGTTTGTTTTTGTTTACAAATTGAGTATGCATTGCCTATTAAGGACATGGAGAGAAACAAAAACAACTTTTGAGTTTTAAATGAATCACTTGGTATTTTTCAGATTTTTAAAAATTATTCCGATGATGAAAATAAGACGTACTTCAACCGAAAATTTTGGTCAAATCTTTTTGGCATTTGTGATTTTTCACTCTTTATGGCCACCAATAAAACAAACAAAAACACTGACAATGAATATAGTAAACTCACTACTAAACAGAAACTTTGTAGTATTTTTTTGAGCAGAACCATTTTTGACAACATGGTCACGTGACCTGATCCGCCTCCCAAATTGAATATCACAATAAATAACTGAAAAAAGGAGTAAATATGGTTATAAAAATTATATTTTTTTTAATGATTGGGGGTAGATTTTTACTGCCCTTTTCACGAAGGATGAACAAATTGTTCTTTTTTTTTTTTTTTTTTTCTTCATTTTCAAGCATGTTAAAGTAAAAACTGGCCCCGAAAATCGTCACTTTTAGCTTCTTACGCAAGAAGTGTGATTCTATGATGGACTTTCGTCTTAAATAAAAAAAATCACTCTTTCTTCTTTTTGTCGTTGTTGTAGTAGTCATCGTCTCTTTTTTATTTTTTTTTATTAATTTTCCACGCAATATTGTTTGTTTACCCTCAGTTTCATGACACATTTATATTTTTTCATGAATTTATTTCTGGAATTATCTTTCTTTTTTTAACTTGAAAAAAAAAATCCTAAAATTAGCTACATTTGTAAACAGAACTTTGATTTTCAGTCTTTCGAGAAATTAAATAGAACGGACCAGAAATGCCAGTGTTGCTAAAAAAATAAAGCAGAACCACTTTTGATAGGACGATCACGTGTCTCATTCCCATAAAAAAGAACCTCCGAAAACAAAAACAATTGTTTTAAAAAACCGAATCGATTGTATTATTTCTTTTAAGCCTGTAAAAAAAAAAGCAAACAAACATAAAGGTAGTTTGCTTAAAAACAAAAAGCATAACATGTCCAGTAACATTTAACAATAAATGGAGGGAAGTCAGTTTTGGTCTCATGAGAGAATTCGTCATCGTACGTAAACAAAGAGTGTGCTGTTAAGATTTCTTCGGTCATAGACTGTTGTTTATTTATTTCTATGTTATTATCTACCTACTATTGGCTTCTCTATAAAAAGATCTTAAAAAAAATGCTGTCAATGCTTCTTTTGAATAAAAAAAAAAAAAAGTTTACCAAATCAGTGCGTGTTAAGAAAAAAATGTCAGTTTTCTGAACCGTCTTTTTCTATGTTATTCAATCAATTGTAATCACTTAGTTTGTAAGTTCGAACATTGTATAA